AATAACTGAAGAATGATGTCACCTAGAATTTTGAAATTCTTCACCATATCGACTGAAAATTTCAGAAAAATTTTAAATCTCAGTGACCTTGATGTCAAGGTCGAGGTCAGATGTCAACTTTTTCTGAAAATCACCTAGAACTTCAAATTCATCCCATAGGTGCATCTACTATAGGAGGCTGAGGCACCGCTGGCACTGGCTGCCAGCATTTTTAGGTTTCTCAGAGCGTAGTACAATATGATTTAGGGGTGTATTTGCTGGGACACACACGCCTGCAAAGATCAGCAAATAGCCAAAACATCTGCTTTTATAGAGGTGGCCACACTGCAATTGCAAGATTTGGTCCTCATTGTATTATGCTGATTATACAGCATATGATTATAGTGAACTAAACCATGAAATATGAACAATATATCAAAGAGACAGTAAGAAACTGTGGAAGTATTTGAGAGAACAAATGAAATGTTTTGCTCTGTTTGATGTCAGATTCAGTTGTACAATCTCATTTGGCCTTTCTTTTGTCACCAGCTTCACTTCTTCTCTGTGTGTCATGGCAAATATATGATCTGAGAGGGCCTCTGAGACTCTTTCTTCACTTGCCCATATTCTTGATAAAACATATTGACAATGCTGCACTGCAATGCTTGGAGCATGCTGCAATGCTGGACTCTGGCATGAGTGTGGTGGTGGTGATTGTTTTGCAGCAGATAACAATCCTCACATCAAGATTCAGATCAGTGATAATATTGACGACGCTTAGTGACTGCTGAACAACGGGCACTTATTTTGTAACGTCTCGGCTTTTTTAGTTATGTTTTTTCTCATCCTGTCTCTCTTTGCTTTTGAGTTCTGTATTTCTGCTGTATTTCTTCAGTTTTCTGACAATAGTTAACCTTACACGAAAGCGAAGATTTATAGTTCTGCCTGGTGCTAAGAGGCAGCAAACTGAAGTACTGCTCTATCAGTGGGAATCATAGTACAATCTTCAGCCCTTTTCTGAAGCGTCTCACCTTTCCTTTTATTGAATTTTTGCTGAATGAAGGCTGCAATATTGACAGAGGAGATAGGCTTCTGACTTGTTTTCCATACGCTTGGGGAAGATAGAATTAAAAAAGAAAACTGGCTGCAGCAAGCAGAAAAACTGAAAGATAAGAGGTTATGTTGCACCGTTGCTCACAAAGGTGACTGTTGTGCTGCTCTTTTATATCTTATGATCAGGTTATTTTGTAGAGAAATTTCCCAATAGAGAAGTTTACCCCAACTGTGCCGGGCATTTCAGCATTTAGCTCATCGTCTTTGGTTTACGAGGCCACAACCACATCAAACAGCAGATTTAAAGAAATGCTAACTAGGTGTCAAACATATTGTACTTAGCATTTAGGGGTGAAAAAGAGCATTTATCAGCTTAAGGATGAGAAATGCAATGGAGATTAGAGATAAAAGAACAGTGTGTTTAAATTCGTCATGGACACAAACACAATTTCTAATGTTAGCTACAGAAGATTTTCTCAGTATTATTGGAGGGTCTTTACCTCTATCAGTCAACAAAATGCTGTGGATGAACAAAAGAGAAATGTAAATCAAATCAATATTTGCTGTGACCACCCTTTGCCTTCAGCATCAGTTCTTCTAGGTACACTTGCACACAGTTTTTGAAGGAACTCGGCTGGTAGGTTGTTCCAAATCTTGGAGAACTAACCACAGTGGATGTGGATGTAGGCTTTCCCACATCCTTCTGTCTCTTCATGTAATCCCAGAGACACTCGATGATGTTGAGATCAGGACTCTGTGGGGGCCGTACCATCACTTCCATTACTTCTTGTTCTTCTTTATGCTGAAGATAGTTCTTAATGACTTTGGCTGCATGTTTGCGGTTGTTGTCCTGCTGCAGAATACATTTGGAGCCAATAAACAATCATTTATATTTCTGAAAGCTTTCTTTGTTAACAGCATTTTTCACATCTGCCTGAAACTTTTGCACAGTCCTGTAATATAAAAGAAAATTAAATAAAGAAAATGATATTGTTGCACACAGGCTTCCTTATAGATCTCAAACGAGATGTGGAGGCTATAACTGAGACTGTTAGAACTTAATTTTTAATTTTATTGTTTGCTGCATTGTTACTTGTTCAGACTTCTATTTGACTTATAAGCATGGCTTACATGCTTTCTGTTAGGTTAAAATTTCTTTAACATTGTGCAAAAGTCTTGTGTGACCCTTAATTTCTCTGGCTTTTTGTATAAGAGAGGCCAGGCTTTATGAAGGTCTTTCAAAGTCGGCTGCTTTTTAAATCATTTTCAGTTCAGTTCTTGTACCTGAAGGAGGATATATTCTCAAGCTAGGTTTTAACTTTGCAAACATACAAATGAAGGTGTAGTATTGTCTGTAGAAGGCTCTTATTTCATGATCATTAGGAGGTGGTGATGCTTTCAATGTAAAGTGCAGCAGCGGAACAACAAACACTAAATAATAAA